TTGCCATTTCCAGAGCCTCCAGTTCTGAGCTGTAAATTTGATCCTGGTGACTTGAGAAGTGGATTTTGTTACAGGGATAAATGTGCCGTGGTGAAAATGAGGCTCCTTCACAGAAAGGGATAAAATAGGGCCTCCCAAAATCGCTCACTCCTGCCTGGTGGTGGATCCATACCCTGCAAAGGGGTTACAGGGATGGGACAGTCTCCCTGTCCAGGGACAGCTTTACCACCATGATCCAGGAACCTCTGCAGGGTTCACATCTGCACCAGCTGTGACAGCACATCTGTGCTGGGCACAGGGATCAGGAACAAAGAGCAGGGTCTTGTTGATGGATCCAGGGTTCAGCTTTCCCAGCCATGGAGTGCAACCTACTCTTTGCCAACAAAGGGAGATTTAATGGAGCAACCAGAACTGTCTCCTGCTGATAATGGTCTTGGCACCAACAGAGCAGGTCCATTGTACATAAATCAGGAAGGTCCTTGAAAGCCTTGCTGGGACCTCTCAGGTGGCTTTGAGTGTCCCCAGTGCACACAACACCTGAGCCACTTTTCCAGGCTTTCTTTTTACCACCTGGAGTAAAAGTGGCACTTTTGAAGCACGAGGCATCTCTGCATCACTGAGTCACAGACTCACAGGATGTGCTGAGCTGGAAGGGACCCCCAAGGATCGTGGAGTCCAACCTGCCACCTGCTGTGCAGGACCCACCTCCCCAGTCCTGCCTGTCCCCCCCAAAACTGCAGAGACACCTCTCCAGTGGGGAAGTGTGAACTCTGAGCAGCAGAGCCCCTGTGTTGGTATCCTGCTCTTCCTGCTCCTGCAAAGCAGCTTTATTTATCCCAAAATAAATATTTTATCCCAAAATAACCAGGCTGCTCCTGAGCACTGAAGGGACACCACAGCTGAGTGGATGGTGCAGCCCCATCCCCTGGTGCAGGACAAAGCTGCCACAGCTCCAGTGCTCCAGCACAGGAGGAAATGCTGTTCCCTGCAGCTTCCACATGCACACAGTGAAGGGAGAAAGGGGGGGGAACATAATCAGGCCTCTCAGATGATCCCTGTACAAAGTATTGACTTTTCAAAATAATCTCATCAGTGCTGCCGGGCACGGGATTTATTCTGCTCATGGTGCAGTTGCAGCCTTGCTGTTTAACCATTCAAACTCGTTCTGACTTCCAAAAGCATTTTAAGCCAAGACAGGGGTTTATTTTAATTAAAACCCTGTCATCCAAGGTTGTTATTACTCTGGTCCTGTTCCTTCCCCCAGGGACTGGAGATCCTCCACGCTACATCCTGTAGAACACTTGAGCCTGAAGGTCTTTGCACTCAGCAAGTGGACAAAAAACTGTAAATGAATATAAAATCTCACTTTCTCCCCTCTCTTTTCATCCCTGGCAGGGCACAGGGCACAGATTTGGAGTCTGTTTGCCAAAAAAAACCCCAGGAGCTGCTATTTACCAATACTGATGTTTGGCTTTCCTGTGATGCTCTGGGTCTAAACCCCTTCCCACCCCTGAATGGCCCTGCAGTGGAAATGCCTCCAACTCACCTGGACAAAACACAGCCCTCGGGGCAGAACTGGAACCATTAGGCTTTTTTCTCATTGTTTTTTTTTTTTCTCCCCATTTCATTCTGAATGAAGGTGGAAGCAGCCAAAGGGGGCGTTGGAATATACGCTGCAGGCATTTCATGGGGGGTCTGCCCCAAACCAGGCCTTCCCTGGCTGCTTCCAGCCTTCCAGCTCCTCCTGACTCCCACCCTGCCTGCCCAGGGCTGGCTAAGGGTTACCAGGTGTGTGCAAGAAGAAACATTTAAGATGGTTTAAGAGTGTCTTAAACATTTGAGACAGTGAAAGATGCCTGTGCCTGGGTAAATACCACTTCCACTTGCACACAGGGTGAGAAAACCCTCTGGAAAACAGAGCAGGAGCACCTGGGGATGTTCTCCAGAAGGGGTTCAGTGGGACCTGCATCTCCCAGGGGAAATGATGGACTTTTGGGATGGAAAACAGCCCATGTTTCCCCACCTCTCCTGATGTCTCATTGGTGTATTTGCAGGGCTGAATTTTGCCTCCCCTCAAACACCTCCTGACCCTGTGCAGGGAGCAGGGAGAGCCATTCCAGGTGGAGCAGAACTGATCACTCTTTCCTGGGAAAGCAAGAGCAGGATGCCCTAAACACACACTGACAGGATTCAGTTTAAGGGATGAGCCTGAGATGAGCTCAGCTGGGTAAAACCTGGTGCTAACAAAGCCAAGCTCAGGGTTCAATCCCCTGGGTGGACTCGCTGGTCCTCGTGGGTCCCTCCCAGCTCAGACCTTCCTGTCATTCCAGAGAGTCTAAACAATTCTGGAAATCCCCCAGGGGAAAGCAAGGAGGGAAAACACATCTGGGGGATGTATAGAGACCCTCCATGTCTCTACTACCTGTCCAAGCTCAGGCCTTGGCTGAATCCCCCCTCTCCCAGGCTGTCCACTGCTCTTGGGGCAACACATGGTAGTTGGGATGCAGCCTTTCCCTATTATTTCAATCCTGCCCTTTCCACACATGATTCCTCTCTCTCCTTCCTATTCTTCCACTGCTTCTACCCCTTTCCCACCTCCTGTAGCCCTCCTGCTGGTGTGAGATCCATCCCCTCTGCAGCTCCTTCCCTCTGGAACCACCTTCCCGTGTCCCACCAACTCCCTCCCGGCTTCACCTGCAAATGCAGCTCCAGGCCTGTTCCTTTGAATTCCTCCCTCCTTCTGCTGCTGTTTGTTATTTAACTCTGTAATTACACCATTTCAAGGGATTTTAAGGCATGTTTGGAACCGAGTTGGCACAGAAGTGCCCCACTCTAAAAGTGGGACCCTCAGCAAAAACACCCCGAGAGCCAAACCCGTGAGAGCTGGAGCGAAGCTGCTTGGATGGAAGAGGGGAAGGCACTTTCTGGATGCCAAGGTGGATCCTCTGTCCCCTTGGGACTGATGGAAGAGCCTCTCCCAGGTGCCTGTTGCTGCCTGTGGCTTTGGGGTGGTGTTTCAGGCTGGCACTGCCCACCCAGGTGACCCCCAGGCAGGGCTGTCCCTTCCTGTGCCACCCTGCCCTGGGCACAGCTCGTGGGCACTGCCCCCTCCTTGGGGAAGGGCTCTGGCAGCAACCCAAGCCCCCTCTCCCTGCCATTCCTTCCCAGAGAATGGGAAGGTTGCACGTCAAGGGGATGTGGGAAGCACAGCCAAGCCCTGATGCTGGAAAGGGCTTTGTTTCCCATCAGGAATCCCACTGGAGACAATGCAGAGCCAGAAATGCTCAAAATGAGGTGACTTATGGCCCTGCAGATGCCTTGGGTAAAGCCAGGCAGGAATGGGAAGAGGGAATCTGCTCCCTGAGTGACACCCATGTGAATTTTCCTTGCTTTTTCTTCGGAAAAAAGCAGCAAAAGGATTGTAATCTTCACTCCTATCCCAGGGGAAAAGCAATCTGAGCTGAAGCCTTCCCTTCCAAGGCTTTGAAATCCAGGGAAGTGCTATGGAAAGAGGTGTATTTTTACCCTTACAAGGAGAAGATCACAACCATTGTTTCCCAAGGCTGGTGGGATTCAGTCAGGGCTTTGTTTCCTGCAGGGACCCCCCAGGGCTGTCCCTGCCCACTGAGGGGGCAGTTGTTGGAGTCTCTGCTCAGTTTTCCCTCATCCCACCCCAGCTGGGGGGCAGGGAAAGCTGAGCCCAGGATCCTGCTGCTCCAAATCCACAGCTCCCATTCCCCCCCTGCCCCTCTTCCTCTGGGCAAAGCCACCTCAGGCATTCCCAGGGGCTGGAGGGGCACTGATCAGCAGCAGCTTCACCAGGAGAATTCAGAGAGGGCTCCAGACTGTTCTGCCTCCCCATCCAAGAGCTCAGCTCACGAGCTTGGCTTTCCCAACAGCTCCAGTGAGGGGCTGGAAGGGGAGCCTGGAAGGCTCAGTGGGACAGGATGGTGCTTCCACCCCTCCCTGGTGCTCTCCCGTGCTGGGATGAGGCTCCCAAGGTACAAAACATTCCTGGTTCTCCCAGTCCTGCCCTTCCTGGTGTCCTTCAGCCCTCACCTCCCCCCCAGGTTCGTTACACACCAGAGGCTTCACCCCCACCAAACTCTTGCTTTGACAACCAAATCCTGGGACCCAGAGCAGGATTTCCAGGGCTGTTTCTGTCACGTGCCAGCAACAAGCTTTTAAAAGACTTTAAAAATACTTTTAGAAAGCTCCACCCAGTTCAGTCTGGACTGTGCTGGAGGGCAGTAAAAGAAGACAGAAATGCTCATTTCCAGGTTTGGCTCTTGTGATTCCTGTGAACTTGGTCACAGCTGAAGTGTCTGAGCAGGCAAAGGCTGTTGATGGCCAGTGAAATGAGCAGCAATCTCACAGGAAGCCACACATTTAATCCACTGGCAAGAAAAGTGCAGCACTGTGGGTCTGGAGAGGTTTAATCCCTGCCATAACAGCCTGGACTGCTTTTCCTGGAAGCTGATGCTGTTGGAAATCCCACTGCAAGGCTGACAAAAGGCAGCTCCCACTGGCAGACCAAACCACCCCCCAAGGTAAAACATCCCCTGTGCCAACCCAGCCCTCAGCCTGGGCACTGAATTCACCCCAAAAAGCACCAGGGAGACCTGATCTCCTGGGCACACTTTGCTCCACAAGGAGCATCCCCCACCACAGCCCAGGGATGTGGAACAGTGACACAGTGGTAAAGATTCAAGGTTCCCAACTCCAAAAACTCATCAGGAAAAATCCTTCTCTCTTCCAAACCTGAATTCCAAAATGCTGCTAAAGATGTTGCCCAAATATGTGGGTGATTTGTTGTGTCCAACTCCATCCATCCACAGGAAGGGCTTTCCTGTCCTCCCACACAGGACACACACACAGCAGACCCCAGTGCCCTTTCCACAGGCATTCCCACTTGGAAAACATCGTGTTCTCCCCGACAAACCCATTCTGGAAGCTGCTGAGAGTTGGTTAAAGTTGCATTTAATGAAATGCTGACTTACCTGCCAGAATATGCTGTCTATTGTGTTCCCCAGAAAGCCATCCCTGCCCTCCGACGACACCAGCTTGGGGCCCAGGATGGTCATAAACTCATCGAAATCCACCTGGCCATCCCCTGGAATGAAAGGAAAACGTCACGGAATTATGGAGGCAGGGACTAGTTTGGCTGGGAAGGGACTTTTAGAGGCCATCTAGTTCATCTAGAGCACCTTCCACTGGATCTGGCTGCTCCAAACCCTGTCCAACCTGGCCTTGGACACTTCCAGGGATGGGGTAGCCACAGTTTCTCTGGAAAACCTCTGCCAGTGCCTCCCCACCCTCACTGTTATCAAGGAATTATCCCTGAGTGCCAGTGTCCAACCTGCTGCTCTGGATCTGCTGCACATCAAGGACCCACTGTGGCACCTCCCACATCAACTCCATGGTGCCTCCAGACCCAGATCCTTTGATATCCCAAAGAATGGCACCTCCCACATCAACCTCACAGTGCCTCCAGACCCAGATCCTTTGACATCCCAAAGAATGGCACCTCCCACATCAACTCCATGGTGCCTCCAGACCCAAATCCATTGATATTCCCAAAGAATGGCACCTCCCACATCAACTCCATGGTGCCTCCAGACCCAGATCCTTTGATATTCCCAAAGAATGGCACCTCCCTCATCAACTCCATGGTGCCTCCAGACCCAGATCCTTTGACATCCCAAAGAATGGCACCTCCC